CTTGAAAATTCTTGTTACGAAACCCTTTATATCAAGTGCTAAACAATAAAATCTCTTTACAGATAAATCTTGGAAATTGACTTCATTTTTGTTCATCGCTTCAATGTTTTCTCCATAAAAAAGTTTTGGTTGAGTTCATGGAACTGATGAATATTATTAACTATAATATCATATCGTGTGGTGATTACAAGATCTCCATAATAAGCTAATCCATCAAAATATTGATACAATCGTTAGAGTTTGTGTTGTGTTTGACAAATTATTTTCTTCAACTGATAACACATAAGACTATCAAAAAATAGTGAATCGAAACAACTCAATCATTGTGGTTAGATAAATAATGTAGACATTAATCAAAGTTTTATTTTTTAAACCAACTTAATTATCAATATACAGTATATTTAAGTAATGTATTAAGACATCGTATGAACTATGGACAACAAACCCAGTAATGATAGCAAACATGGTTTGCAATCGTTAACGAAACCATTGCAATTAATTGATTATACGCTTAATAATGGCTCGTATTTGTTCTCAACCATAATAACTGATACAAACTCTGAGGATATTAGTTGGTATGAGAATATTGCCGGTGCGGACACTGGGGCTAATCAATCAACCACTGCATCAACTCATATCGACAGTTATGTTGTGTGTTATAATCGCTCACATCTGGCGTTTACATTTGTTCAACAGTTAAGCCTTCAGGTGACCACTCATTCACTAATTCTTTACTCATTTCTTTCCATAAATACTATCCAATAATGTATTTCATTGCAATTCTCACTAAAATCTCTCTCTCTCTCACTTTCACTCACTTTCACTCACTTTCACTCACTCACTCACTCACTCACTCACTCACTCTCTAACTCTTTATCCCTCCCTCTCTATTCCATTCTATATGTCTTTATTCCTTAGTTTTTATCAAAAATCAGATATATTACATAAGTTTTATATTTTATTCTTTATTTTACAATATGCTTTCTATAATAATAACAGTAATCTTGAAAATATTATATTTGGAAATAAAATTATAAAACTTTTAAGACATTAACTATAATGAGATACGTTAGTATTCAAATAAATAATGGATCATTTCCATGTTCATTATAATAACTTATATAATAAAACTTATGATGACTTGGTTTAAAATAATATGCAAAGTTTACGTATAATATTATAAAAACTTACATTTTCATGTTATTATTTAATTTAATTATTTCATAATCTACGATCATTTTATAAATAAATGTACTGTATATAAATTCAAGTTTATACTTGATTGCCTCTAAAACCTTTATTTTTAAATATTCATTATTCATTATTATTTTATAGAAACTTATTTTAGATTATTTTTCTAAATTTAGATTTTGTATTTAATTTCATAGAACTATTGACAAAATATTGTATCATGAACTTATTTTTATAACTATCATTCAATTTAATAACCAAAAATTCAATAAGATGGAATATTCCATAATGATTTGCTTTAAACCTCTAATATTATTATAGTTACTTATCGTTATATTTACTAAATATGATATTACTTTTAATGAAATCAAATAGCACTTTAATGAGTGAATCTATGATCAGTTCATCTCATTTATATAACTATTCATACAATCCTTACACAGAAAGAGTAAATACTATGCTAATCAAAAGTAATACAGTTTTTGTTTTTGCATTCAATGGATATCTGCATACTTCTTCCGCAATTCATTCACTAAATTCATGCATTCATCCCAAATATATGGCATTATCCTTTCTTATGGCACACAAAGCCATTAAAATGTCAAAAAAAAGTTCAGCGCATAACCCACTGCTTGAAAGCCATGCTTTTCAATGCATTCTTAGGCATATCTTTTACTAAGTTTTCTTTTTCATCCATAATTAGTCTCATTTTATAGCAAAATAGATCTTTCTATTAATAATGGATTAAAAGTAAAGTTAGTTTCGTATAAACAATTTGTGTAACGATTTCTCTCGTGCGGTCCCATAGATATGTATGACGGCATCGATCGTGAGTTTCATAATCCAACTGTCGGTCTACGGGTTTGTACCGAAGCTGCAGAGTCTTCCGGGAAAGTGCTTAATGTCTCTCTCGTTGTCACTGTTGGCGACGAATCTATTTTTGATACTCTCGTACAACACGGAGACGAGTCGCGAGAATATCTTCTGCGTCATTGTGGGCATCGGTAGACATTACTTCATTTTAGTGGCCTTTTGCTGGATGTCTGTCCTCGCGTTTGACACTCACTGGACATTCCATTTGCCGAATCGGAACCAGTTGTCCACCTCTTTGAAAGGTAAGCCATGTCCTTTCATATACACCTACGATGTACATGAGAGCCAATCCAGACCACGCTATGAGTGACCAAACTTTAAAACATTTTAACATTAATCTCAATACAAGTTTTGCCAATACAACAAAAGTCTCAGTTTTGTCACTGATAATGTGGCCCGGATTACAATGTACGCGCATCGTAGATATACAGTATGAAATATTTCATATACTGATACTATTAATACATTTAATTGTTTTGTTATTCACAAATATGATATTATATTTCTCGAAACCGTTTATTTACTTAAATACTCAATTTTAATTTAGTAAAACCTATTATAGGTAATGATTTATATCTAAACTAACATTTAGTTTGAATTATAAACTAATAGAAAAAACTTTTAAACTCGATTTGAGTAAGATTTTGGTAATTGTTTAGTTATGTTTTTTTATTTTGCGGGCTAGTACATGGATATATGATTAGCCAATAAAATACAATTAAAATCCTAGCAATCTTTCACTTATTAAATATTATATGGTTTTAAATCACAAGATATGATTATAAATCTAATAAGATTCTTAAAACTTATTATTTTTAAATATAAATGAACTTAGTAAAACTCGTGTCCCATTTATTTTATTTAATAATTATTTATATATTTAATTATTTTAATAACCAAGTTTAAAATGTTTTTCCAAATGCACGCCAAAGGCTATCACAAGCGGACGTCACTATTCATAAAATACAGTATCTATTCGTGGTTAACACCGGCGCTGATCGTAGGTATGGCCGTCAGCATAGACTACATCATGCAAAGTGAATCGTCGCTGAAGCCGATGTACGGACAGGTGGTGTGCGGACTGAGCCAACTGTTCGCGATACTGATGTGGAGCACAATCCCCGGGTGTCTCATAATGTTCATAAACATCGTGTTCTTCGCGAAGACGCTGCAGAAACTGAACCGAATAACCGGTGAAACAGAACTCGCAAATAAGGCCACATTCCGGGAGCGGTTCATGTGGTGCTTCAAGCTCTCCATCCTATTAGGCATAGCCTGGGTTATATACTTCATCTCGAGCTTCGTCTGCGAGATCTGGTTCCAGTACTTCTCCCAGCTCTTCCTCTCATGTCAGGGTCTCTTCATACTATCCATTACCACACTCAAGAAGAGCGTGTTTGAGGCGCTCAAGCGCCGGGTCTTTTACCTCAGGAATCGCGGCATTCATAGGCAACAGTCCAGCAAACGGTCGTTCCAGGCGTCGGCCTCCTTGAAAACACTTCCCATTTTCTAAACGATTAGCGTTTCAGGTTTGGATGTCTGGTGTTGTTGTGAACAACACCGACAAACCCATAGGTTTAGCGCTGAATACGACAAACATTTATGTAATGTAAGAGTCTTAAGGCCTAATCGCATGACTCGTCGTCTGAAGAAAAATATTTTTGTTTATACTGTCAATGTAATACTGAATCAAAGAATCTATAAATTATATTATATTTCATCTCATTTTCCAAAGGGTTTTGCGGTAAAGTGATGGAAAATATATACAAAAATAAATTATAATTTGATTTATTATTTGGTATATTAATTGTGAAATAGTATAAGAAAAAAGTGAAATCTCATTTCATCACACAATCTATGAACAAATTTGATTAAATATTTAAACTAAAAAATCAATTTCTCGTTCACTTGTCTAAAAGGTTTATGTCATACTTTTTAATTAATTTATTCTCGAAAAATAATTAATTTATTTATACAAAAAATGTAAAAAACCAAAAATTTATGTGTATAGAATAAAGTAAAATTATATTTTAAATCAAATATAGTTTTTCACACACTTTTGTAATTAAGTCTAGCGTGAATTCAATGGAGTTATTAATTATTTTTTGGATTAAAAATCAAATATATATATATACAGTAAATTTAGAGCTAATTAATATTTTTCTCGTTTCGCACCACTTTTCCCTATTTTCAAAAGAGTTAATTAATATTTAAGATAAAAACAATTAATAACTAATTAGTATAGCATTTCAGCGTAAAATTATAAAGCTTTACAAATAATGCTAACTATTTAAAGTTAGCAAACTATGATACTATGTTAATACAGTACATAGTAATGCTAACGCTTTTTTTTGATTTTTAACACAAACGTTTGACAAAAACACGTTAATATTTAATTTGGAAGTCTCTCTCTCTCTCTCTCTCTCACTTTCTTTCTTTCTTTCTCATAGACTTGTAGGGAAAATAACATTATATTTAAAGAAAACACATTAATTGTTTTGTTTATTGGCACACAAGTACTGTTATGTACTACTGTATGATAAAAGCAATTCTCTTATGATTACCTGTGGGTTAAGATCATTCCCCTCATTAATCATTGCTTATAATTATTATATAGTTTTCTCTCCTAAACCGTTATTTATCCACACTTGCAGATAACCACTAAAATAAATAAGTGCTTATATAATGTAACATTATTAATACACAAATGAATTAAATTTCCTGGGCTTTGTTTTTTGATGATTTTAGTTATTAATAAATGATTCATAAATTGATAGCAAATAAATATATTTTCCATCAATAACCCAGTGTTGTTTCACATGACTACAAAAATATAATAAAATTTATATATTAGTGCTTAATATTTTTGATATTTAATTTCAAATATAATTTTTGTTTATTATTTTCTTAATCCTAGAAAATTTAAAATTAATTTATAAAATTAAATTATAATTATTTATTGTATTATATACTGATACATCTATATTTATTGATAAATAATATTATGATAAAATATATTATATATTAGTACAATTATATTAATACGATATTCTGTTAATTATATATTTATTAAATTTATATATATTATACAGGTAAATATAGGTATTGTGTTTTAAAATGTAAAGGAAAATTGATTTTGGTTTAATCAATTAATTTGTAAGTAATAATGAGTATTATATAACCTAATCCGGATAATATTGTATATTCTTAAATATTATGTCCAATAAAATATTGTTTATATATTGTATGAATAATAGTCTAAATAATTTACATTCCTTAACTCTAACCGCAAATAATATTTTATAAACAAGACATGACTATGAAAAACATCTATTACATAAATAAATAAATAATACTATATATTGTGCACTCAAACCAACAGTCGTGACATTTATTTATAATTAAAGCGTTTTTGCCATAAGAGTTAAGGTTAATAGAGATCATCGGCTTTGAACGGAGTGTCAAAATAGAGTTCAATATTTATATATACTATATATACTGTTATATATATATACTATACATTACATTGGAGACCTGGATACAATGACCTAGCTCATCGCATTGGTTCATCGTTTTCGGCCCACTTTCCAATTGAGAAGAGCGTAGACTAATAGATACATAACCGACACGAAAAAGACGAGTAAATTGATTTCATGCCAAAGGGACTCATCGGAGTCGTCGATCTCGAACTGAGACAATATGAGAGACCTGTCGGTGTTGTTCCCGACAGCGTTGGCGCCGCCAAACATGAGCATCAGTTGCTCCTCGGGCTCACTCCGGGCCGATGTGTCCACCACTTCCGTCGACTTGTCTGCGCCGCCCATAAATGACTGGTACTCCAGCATAACCGACATGGATTTAATCCATTGCGGTCGTGTCAGGTTAGACACATCCAACTCCATCTCCGCCAACCAGTGCTCGTGATGGCAACGGTTGAGACCGAACGTAGCGATTAGGGTCGCCGTCAGCGAGTAGCGGAAAAATGATACATAACTTATTGGTATGAAGTATACGGGCATTAGAGATAGCTTGCGGAAAAAGCCGGCGAATATAAATAGTGGCAAAACAACTGTTAAAATGTAGAAAATGTAAATTATTTGTAAATTATTTTCAGGTTTTACACCAATTATAGTACTTATTCCGGACGAAAATACAGCCAAATTTGGGTTTTCAAGAAAGGCGGCACCAAAAATCAAACCTATTTTTTTCATTATTAATAGAAATATTTTATTAAACAAATATACTTTCACCAATATTTGAGTGTTATTTAATGCTAATAAAATGCATTTACCGATGGTTTGTCCTGAAAGGCCGACCAACGAATTGATGAGATTTATAAGGAATAGCCTATAATAAGTGTCAAGCAACTGTCCCGTCATAAAGTATATGATTGTAGTCAATGATATATTTGTTAACACTACAAAAGGTGCATCAGTGATGACTTTACTGACATAATATGCAAATATGCTGTAATAGGCATTGGAGTGCTCCTTCATCACTACATTCATTTCAAAGGGGAACGACAGTATAATTGCAGAATACGTGCCAAACATACACATCATCATTGACAGGAACAGTAGGGACACATTTTCCTGCAACTCGTATCTCTCCTCCTGGAACTTCTCAAACAATTTGTTTATATCCAGTTTCCACAGCATTAGTTTGGATGGTGGACACCCTGATGCTTTGCCAATTTCGCTATTAAATATCCAACCAATCATGAATGCCATCGGAAATACAGTGCAAACTCCTAGATCATGCATATTAATTAATATTGTTAAGGACTAGCTATAGTTTTCCAATATATCAAATTTAGCAACTAGCACAATTAAATCTAAAACATACTCAATATAAACATATTAGGGTCTCTATACGTAAGTTTGAAGATTCGCATAATTAGTATCCAAATTTGTTTTAAGAAAGGTCTTTAAAAAATTTAATTTATTAATAATATAATTAGTAATTGATAAGTAAAGTAAAATACCTGGATCGCTTAGACTTCTCAACTTCGATGGCGTTGATGACAGTGGTGTAGCCCTCAGATGACATATTGTCAAACTTTGTACGATTTGATTCTCTAGTGTAATGACTCAATAAATGTATACTTTGTTTGGCATAATCGCCGGACGCCACCTCTATTATAAAATCAGCAGGGTTGTAGTATAGGGGAATAGTTAGCCCTAAAATCCATTCAATTTAGCAAATTAAAGTCAAATTAAAAAATAATACAACAAATAACAAACCAATTAGTGATAGGGTTTGAGTGACGTCTTGAGGCGGGCCGTCATACACACAGACCCCGGTGTTGGACAACACATACACCCTATCGAACAGATGAAACATCTTAGCGCTGGGTTGATGAATGGTGGCCACCGTTGCGATCGGTTTACGGCCTTTGGTCAGAGACAGCATCGCCTTCACGGTCTGACTGGTGGCCGAACTGTCCAAACCAGTGGTCGGCTCGTCCAGAATCAGCACATCTACACGACTGACCAGTTCTAAGGCAATGGACAGCCGTTTGCGTTGACCACCGCTGCACCGAATGGCCAAAGTGTTGGCGCAGACATCGAGTCCCAGCTTTTTGATGAGACTGTCGGCGATTGACTTGTGGTTGACGTAGTGTTTGTCGGCGTTTCGCAGCCGTGACGCGAATACCAGCGATTCTGCGACCGACAGGTGCTCCAAATGGTAGTCAAATTGCTCCACAAAACCCACTTTAAGTCGATCTTTGCCACCGAACCGGATATCGCCGGACACTCCGATCGTGCGTTTGCCTGAAATGCACTCCAAAAGAGTGGACTTTCCAGCGCCCGACGGACCCATCAGTGCCACCAACTGATCCCAGTTTACAATTTACAGTCAATCAACTTGTTTGATATATATTAGTGCTATAAACATACCTGTCCACTACGAAACGAGCCGCTTACGCCATTGAGTATAGTCTTGAGCCTACTGGTGCCATCGCCCTTACCAATCATCTCTTTCATGGTCCGCCGTCTTTTCACACAATACGTCAGGTTATTCCATGTGATCTCCACCTGAGAGGACTGGGACTTACTCCGCCTGACCGGTGCCACCTTCACCTGCATTACCGGTGCCGCGAGATTCTTGATGGCTATCAGTTCAGACACAGTATAACATTATGAATATAATCATAATTGTCATTCGATTATGAAGTAGATTATAGATTCAATTTACCCCCGACTACACCCTCTTCCATTATGATGGCACAGTAATTATCAGGGTAAGTTTAACACATTAACGGCAATTAATTGTTGATAATAAGGTGTTTAAATAAATAATTTTAATTTTTGATAATAGAAAAACTTGATACTTTTTCACTTATAAGGATGTTAACTTTAAAATTATAAAAGTTATTGTCACTAATTATCACATTTTAATTTACACTTTAAATGCAATAGTAAATAAATATAGAGTTATGATTAATTGTTATTATATGAAATAATGCTATTTTTTGTTTATTTTATACAATTTTGAATATTTGTTCAAAATTTTGTAATAATAAGACATGTATAAATAATGTGAAATGGTGATCTAATTCTTAACATTAAATGAATATGAATACGAAATCGTGTCATATTCTCATTAAACTTCTAAGAATATATTTCATTTGCTTCACAAACTTCATAATCAATAAATTAAAGTCAATAAATATTAAATATTTGCTAAAATGGAGGTTTCTATGCATAATTTTGTATCTGTATGAAATCATTGAAAATACTGAATATTCTTTAATTTAAGTCAATTCTGTGGTATCTTTTTACCTAACTTTAAATTATACCAAATTATTCTCTATTAAATTATTTTCCCTATTAATAAAAAATATATTTATTGCTAAAGTTTCCATGCCTAACAAATAAGGTAATAATTGTACGTGAAATAAATAATACAATTAAAAATAAGAATTTATTTTAAATGTTGATATAAAATCGATTAATTCAAAAATATTTTAGCAAAGATTTAAAAATAAAATTTGAGTTTTTTGCAATTATAAATTCCCATGAATTATTTATTGATACTAATTTATAATTACTATTACTATATTTTTATAAAAAATAAGGCTATTACTTAGAATTACAGTACGTATATATAATGTAATTAGTATTCATTACAATGTATTAAATATTTCATTTGTCTGGTCATTACTGTAAGGAAGGTTTAAATGTATAACATTTAAAAATTACTATTAAAAATAATTAAGGATTATAAAGTAAAATTTAAAATACTGATCTAAACACAATAAAAATGTCAGGGATATCAGGGCTATAAACAGTATAGTAACGGTAAAAGCAAAGAAAACTACAAAGTCTACAGTTGTAGAGATCCACGAGTAGTAACAGTAGTATCAAATTGATTGCCAATTCATTGATTGCCATATAAAATGAGAGCAGTTTTATTCGGATCAGTTTAGTTGCCAAATAAACACAGGTTCATGCATTATAAATAGATTACTATTGCAACTACTGTATCATAAATGCAAGTTTATTTTAAACTTGAAATACATTGACAACGTCGGGAGAGTCCCTTTCACTCATTTTACTATTAAATGTAATCTTTAAATAAGCGATAAAATTCATATAACACTTACGATAAGTTTGTAGATAAGTGTGTTCAAGTGTAATAAACGTTATGTTTTAAAAGCACATTCAAGTTAATTGTAATAATAAATAATAAATATTTTTATAATTTGTTTTTATTGTCTCGTAGGTGATTGTATAATAGGTTGATTTTTTTGACAGTTATTTTTTGACAGTTACATTGACAATAATCCGTTAGATAATAATAAAAGTGTTATATAAAATATATGTAACTCACCGTCTATCATTTATTTGTATTGAAAACAAGTTAATATATTAGCACTAATTTTAAAAGTTTTATAATTGTAATAGAAAATATAATAATCTTGGCACAGACTATTAAAATTGATAAATTGCTTTTATTTAAAAATTATAGAAATTAAACTAGTTAGAAATTTATATTGTATTACTAGTTAAACTAGTTATATATTATTAGTATGTTTTATATTTGTATAGTATTTTTGATTAAAACAATTTTTAAAAATTAATTTAAAATAGTTTATGTAAATAAAAGTCAGTTAACGAATGAAACATATTTACATTAGATTTTTATTCAGTCATATAAACTTAAATAAATATAGTTTTAAAATAAAAGAAAATAATAATATATGATATCGTGTAGAAATTACTTTCATTGACGTCGAGTTAATTATATTTTTGCCATAATTTTGAGTACTTTCTCTTGAATTTCCATTATTATACAGTTATATTTAAATGTCAAAAAACCATTATATATTTGGTGTACACAATAAAATCAAAAGAAAATGAGATTTTCACTTCAAGTAAATATAAAGTTAACTTTTACAGGTATACAAAAATCATTCAAAATAGAAATATTAAAGCGGCAAGTAAAAATATATATGAAACATAAAATGTGATCGCTTAGTTGTAATTGTAGTTTAATGTGCTAAAAATAATTATGGGTTACATTTTGAATAATTATTTAATGTTTTATTTAAAGTTTTGACAATTTTACACTTTTAAAAAATAACGTTAGCACTATAGGGGTCATAAGTAATTGCATAAAAGTTCCTTGTTGTATTTTTAAAAAATATTGTAATAAATTCAAAAACTAAAATAACCTTCAGTATATTTTAGGCTTTTATTGATAACTAAGGTTATATAATCAATTGTTTCCTCCTAAATATTTCTTATAAAAGTTTTATGCGCTTAAATAAGTTCATAAACTATGTGATATGCAATCAGACTGTGTCTTAAAATAGATTATAATTTGTATTAATTGTCAATTATTAAATGATATAATAAGTGAAATATTTTTCTAATGTTTGGTATCAATATTTTTTTATCTGACATGTGAGTAGTGACAAGAACTCATTAAAATGTAATTATTTTTAATGATAAAATAATTATAAATAAACTCTCGCGATTAAGTTAATATTAAAAGCATATTTTAAATTTATTATAATGTTAAGTTAAATATTTAAAAATCCTATATTATAGATTAAAATTAATCTCAATATTACTTAATATTTTAATAAAATTTTATATAGAGATCAAAATTAATTTAAATATTATTCAATATTTTAATAAAACTACATGCATATATTGAATAATATAATAAATATTAATTCAATTCAATCAATCATATGAAACGGAAAAATCCCAAAATGACATATTATCCCGTTATCACCGCTTTTGTAAAAACAAAAATAAAACAAATGATTATATTGAATATATTTTATATTGTAAAGTGTATTTGTAAAAATTTCTATTTAAATTCAAAAATTTAAAAATTGAATGGAAAATATTATATAACAGCTCAATTTTATTGCTTGCAAGTTAGTCTTTAATCAAGGTTTTGATATAATACTGCACTACAGTATGTGGTGCTAATAAAAGGTTTGAATATGGAAAACACTTATTAAGTTGTCAAACCATTAGTAGAAAATTATAATAATTTTGTTGTTTAAGCAAATAATAAGTTTGATTTTCAATAAATATATTTAAGAATGTGTTGTATAGTATTAGTTGAATAAAAACACTGTAATCTCAATATGATGTAAAGATTATTACGAAAATAATATATAGTATCATATATAAGCTTAAGTGAAAAGATATCCATTTCATATAAGACGGAAAGAATTAAAAATAAAAATAAATCTATTGTCTGATTGTGTGCTATATTTGTGCCTAAAATGAAGTTTTAAAAATAGTTTCATTTGATAAAAGAAAGTGTTTGTCTCTGTGTATTGTTAAATATAAGAATTTAAATTTCAATTCAATCAATCTGTTGGTAAGACAACTGTGCTTTATATGACTTCTATATAAGCTATTACTCAACTCATTCACTCTCTTTCATTACATAATTTCATTCACTAAGTAGTATTCATTTCTCTAATTGTGTGCAAAAAACCTAATACTAACCGCAAGTATTATAGCTATTCTTAATAATTATAATATTAGGACTACTTCTACGGAATTATATGATTATATGTTTATAAATAGCAGTCCAGTGCCACACGTGTAAGCACTCAAGCGAGTAAATAAATAAAAGTTACTTTCTTAGTTGATGGGAACACGCTTTTATAAATCTTATGATATATTAAGCAAATTGTTTATCACAAAATATTCCCATAAATATGTTGATTAAGTTTGTTGTATTGTTTGTGATGATATTTAATAACAATTTCATAGACTGTGAATTAGTTTCAACTCAACTCACAGATAGTACTAAAATAATTGGTGAGAAATTCAAAGTTGTCGATAAAGAAGTTTATAGGTTTTTAGGTATTTCTTACGCCAGTGCACCGGTAGGTGATCTACGGTTTAAAAAACCGGCTCCAGTAGACAGTTATGGTGATACCGATGTGTATAACGCCACTCAAATGCCTTCCCCGTGTATTAACTACCTGAATGGTGTCGATCCAAGTGAGATGCCGTGGAGTAGTCCACTGCCCGGTGATGAGGACTGTCTGTATCTAAACATATGGTCACCAAATATCTCCGGTGACATAACCAAAAAATTGTACCCGGTTATGGTATGGATATATGGCGGTGCTTTCCAGACCGGTTCCATTGATCTGGACTTATATGACGGCCAAACGTTGGCTACAACCGGCGATGTAGTGGTCGTGACATTCAATTACAGGACCGGAGTTTTTGGACTTTTCTATGACGGCAGTGACGAAGCGCCCGGAAATCTGGTTCTTCACGACCAGAGAATGGCCTTACAGTGGGTTCACAACAATATTCAAAAGTTTGGTGGCGATCCACAAAAAGTTACTCTGTTTGGTGAGAGCGCCGGCAGTATATCCGTTGGAATTCATTTGCTGTCTCCTGAATCGTCTAATCTGTTCCAACGGGCAATCCTTCAGAGCGGGAGTCCGTATCATAATATCGGAGGTCTTCCGTCAGAAGTGGCCCTAAAACAGTCAAAATTGATCGCAAAAGACGCCAATTGTTTGACGCCTCAAGAAGTCATTGATTTGAATTGTATGCGAAGAATGAGCTCAAATCAAATCATAGCTATCTATAAGGATATCTACACAAGAGGTTTGCGAAAAACACGTGAGTTATTATGCAATCAATGGTAAACTATTTCGCTATAAACAGGAATAGCATTGCAACTGATATTTGGCGACGAGATATCACAGCGACATCCTATTCACGCACTCGACCGCAGACTAGTGAATGTCACGGACGTCCTCATCGGCACCAATAGGAACGAGGGCTCGAGTATACTGTTTATGGGAGTGCCGGACATGTTCTCCAGGAGGGCGCCCATCAATATCACCAAGACATACGCCATTCAATTCATTAAAGCCATGTCCGAGAGCTGGTGGTTGGGCGCGCTGTCGGACCACCAGTTCCTGCAGATCACAGAGTACTATATGTCGGCGATAGATGAAGACGATTACGTATCGGTGCGCCAATCGCTGGTCGACATCATCGGCGACTCGCTCTTCATCTGTCCGTCAGTTTATTTGGCGGAGAGTTTGTCGCAGATTAACGGCTCGAAAGTGTTTTACTATCAGTTCACTCATATCAAGCACTTCGGCAACCATTGGGGCCAATGGATGGGTTCACCGCATTTCGATGAAATCCAGTACGTATTCGGCCTTCCGCTCCGGTATCCGCACCGGTATAGTGAGCCTGAAATGCAGTTATCCATGAATTTAATGAAAAGTTGGTCCAGTTTTGCGCGAAACGGGTGAGACATGTCTCGCATTTAATATTGTTTTTTATTGCAAATCACTTGATATACGGTTAAGCGTTATGTCACTCCTTATCTAATCTAATCTCAATGGCATTGCATGTCAAGTGCATTGTGTCATAAGATTCGTTGTATTTACAATATACTGACAACGGATTCAAATATTTGTTAAATAAATATTGAATATCTGAATGAAAAATGTTTAAAACTATGGAAACGAAAATCTTGTTCTTTGCCTAAAACTCTCATATTTCTGAGCTTTCATCAAAACTGTGTTCAATTTTTATTACTAATATAAATACTTATAAATAGTTATTTTAACATGACACAAATTAAACTGAGTGATAATTAATCAAGATTATGTATTCATTGTGTACCAGTGAACCTGATAATAATTTCGGAGACAATGTTTGGCCACTTTATGATGAAATTAGGCGAGAATTCATTGACATGACACAAATTAAACTGAGTGATAATTAATCAAGATTATGTATTCATTGTGTACCAGTGAACCTGATAATAATTTCGGAGACAATGTTTGGCCACTTTATGATGAAATTAGGCGAGAATTCATTGAAATAAATGGCGATAAAAGAAATTCAAACCTCAGGAGTGGTCCTCGACTTAATGAATGCCAGTTCTGGAGACCATTCTTTCAACGCAATGTTCTGTTAGTTGCTGTGGTTCTCGAAACTAGCATAACAGTGTTGGTAAAGTAATAGTAAACTTTGTAATTTATAATCTTTGGAAATTCTTTAGTAATATTTATTGTGCTTTAATTAAGTATTAATAATTTAAATAAAGTCTGTAATGAATTTACGTAAAAAGGATATTTTAAGAGATTTTTAATTATAAATTTCTATTTAGCTTACTATTTAATTTATTATTTAATTTGTTATTTGACAATTATAAGTGGAACTATCAGGGTTGTTTGTACCATCATTTTTTAATTAAAAAAAATAATTTTCAGGATAAACATATTAAATTAGCAAATATTTTCTATGTACAGTATATGTTTTGTTAATACTGTATAACCATAATTCTTGTAGTAATTAACCAATTTGTTTATGTGATTTTATGAACACAATTTACATAAAACATTATTTTATTAAAAATTAATTCATTTGTTAAACATTCATAAATAAAGGCGTTTAACCTACAGTATTTAACAATTTATAATAACATTATTTCTCATAAATGATTAATTTTGTTGAATGTATTACAACTCTTTGTAGAGAATATTGAATAGTGTGAATGCATTGGATTAATGTTGTACTTTCACATCGATCTAAAGGTAATGTTAATAATATTTATATATTCACCACTAGTGTATAGTTTGTAAAACACATTCATTTTAATTATTATCAATTTAAAGGTGTTTGTTATTAATAATAAAATACACAATGTCATTAGTTGTTATGTATGTCTCATTTTACACATATTACTGAGATTTTTATTAACTAAAGCTAATTAGATTTACCAAAATAAGTAATTGAATATTTTTAAAAATTTAAGAATTAGTTAAGTTTAATATAATAACCATTGTTTCAAATATATACATAAATGATTTAAAAAATATTAATTAGATTGCAAATTAATTGTCTAAGTAAAGGAATTTGATATTTTGCTTATAGTTACAGAATTGATCTATTATGGAGATATAAAAGAAAAATTAGTAATTTATGAACTAATTTCTAATTTACTTAAAGGATTTTGCTGAATTTAAAAATTACTTAATAGCAAATTGATTGATTGACATTATTTAAAAGCACAATGTCTGATAATTTGTATAAATATATTGATATAATAGGCTGAGTTTCAGGTCATCCGGAATCCAAGGGTAACATAAGATACTATTGAAAACAAACATAAAAATTAGTAAAAAGATAAGCATGAAAACAAACTGAATATCAATGAATATGTTATTTATGCAGAATTCATATATACGAACAAAAACAAAAATATTGCATTAAATAAATCTCAACAAAAAAAACTATAAAATTGAGAAAAATTGCTACAAAAAATTAATGAAAATTAAATTATCATTTATGAAACTTCCTGTGCTATGTATATAGCATTTTGGTGAGTGCTGTACATCGTATATATTGATCGGATTCACATTTAAAATAATAGCTCTCATATGCACAATATAATGTCTATTACTTAATACACGGAAACACTACTACTTTTATATTACATATACTCTGTTATAATGTAAGTCAATGTACTGAAACTTTTTTATGTCTCTCTCTCTCTCTCTCTCTCTCTCTCTCTCTCTCTCAGGTAGTGGACTGCTATAATTCTCTCACTATTTAGTAATAAAGCTACCATAAAATACCATAAAATATATATAGTATATAGAGAATCAAATGCTGGTATAGAATCGTATGGACAGACTATTGGAAAAGTATAGCGAATAATAATAATGAAAAACTTATCACAACTACACATATCGTAACCTACTTTTGCATTTGGAATACAATTACAAATGATTTGAAACGTTGACCTCAATCGGTAGTCACACACACAATACATCAAATACATATACCGTACAGTAATATGCAGTTACACCACACAGATATACACACCGTCTCACATCCATTTCCCATATATTGGTCGCCAGAAAATGTTTTTATTTTTTAGAATTTATTTTATTTTTATTATTTTTTAATTTATATGTCTCTCAATAATCCATATCTCCATAACCTCTATAATTGTCACTCATATCCTCCCACTATATCTCTATACTATTATTGATTTTGAAGTGAGTATTGAGAACATAAACTGTGAGCTCAATGAGAGTGCCATAGGAGAGGGATAGTGAGGGCAGAGCGGGAGTACTGAACACTGAGTTTATTATTAATATTAATTGATAATAAAAAGTTTGTATAACTAATAACTACAGTAATAATTGTGTGAATAGTTTTAACGAAATAATTCGCTGGCATTAGCTCTGAAGCCGTGAATAATAAAGCCGTCAAACAGTTTGTGTGCGGAAAAAATGTTATGTTTTATTCATAATTACAAACTTCTTGTTTCCAATCGCTCCGTGTTTTTGTTTATACATAATAAACAAATTCATTTTCGACGCGAGTATTAATTATTTATAATTTCTGTCAAAATAAAAAAAACAAATTAAGTTTTAATTGAATTTTATAGCCGGCGTTCATAAATAACATATTAAAATAAATATGTTTGTGTTCAGATTTTGTTTTGTAAGTACGAGAAAAAAGTTAACCGCAAAAACTTTATTACGAGATTAAGTGCTATAAACACAACCGACGTAAATATAAATTGATACAAATCTGGAGTTTTGTTTACGCGCTTTCACACGGCATTTGTTTCAATGAATTAACTTGTTCAAATTTCACAACTACCGTAATATAATACTATACTCTATTTGGTCGAGACTTGTTGTCTGTAAACATTTTGAATCATCAGTTATTTATGCGTACGAAATGCAATGGGATTTTAGGCCCAAGTTTTCAACGTGCGTCGACCACAGCTACCAAATCAACAACTCTTACGACCACAACATTAATAATAATAACAGTTGTAATAATCACCAAAACAATAAAAACCCTAATAATTGCCTAAACAATGGCTTCAACGGCAACAACAACAACAACACGGATGACACAAACTCCGAGCGCTGTTGTCCCGACTGTCCCATAGAGCCGACGGCCAACTATTGCAAAATCATATTCAAGATAACTATTGTGTTCCTGAGTTTCGCCGGCTTTCTATACCAGGCCACCGACATATGCACCCATTATTTCAGTTATAGGACAGTGGTCTACACGAATACTGAACAGGAGTCGGTCATCGACTTGCCGTCCCTTACGTTCTGTTTGCCCACGTATTTCACGAAACAAACTCTCATCAGTCTGTATGGGCCGCACATATCCCGAAGTATGGACGAAGCCCTTCACTATAACCGCTCGCTATTGCCTACCATTGAGCCACTCATATATGACTCCTTTCACGTCTCAGAGATTGATAAAGACAATAATATTGAATAAATACAAAAACAGAGTGTTTTGAGTATAGTCAATATTCTTTTATGTAAATAAATTCTATCGTTAAACGGAGTATTCTGATCATTACGATTCTCATATATTAATATGATATTAAAGCCAACGCACAAAAGTTTAATGAACTCTCAATGAATATGTTTTCGTTTTCAGTTCATGTTATTTATGATAACATTTGATTATAATTTCACTTTCACTCCCATTGAGTTTCATAAATGAAATTATTCAATATCAATATATATATAATAATAATAGCAGCTTTACATACAAAAGTACTTAACGTCACTTCACAGTAAATTCACATATCACAAAGACTACTTAATTCATAAACTAAACTTAAAAGTTATAAAGGGGTTAATTAATCGCTCCGTGCATGCTAGCAAGTAAAGACAGGTCAAGTCAATAGCGGTTCGAATAAATTAATACGTTTATAAAACGTTAATAAAATATTCATTTTATATCACGTGATAAACGACGTATGTGATACTTATTTTATTCCATTTGAATGTCTTATGAGATAAATAATTGTAATTGTATTCAATACAGTAGTACAGATAGGATAAAATGCATTATTTATGTATTGAGAGTATGTGTATACTGGACATTAAGCTTATAGGAATGTTACAGTATTTGATTTGATATAACCCTGGAGTCAATGTTATTCAATCTAATAAAGCCTTGTACTCAATCACAATAAAACAAGAAAATTATTTGTGTAGGAGCAGTTTAAATATACTTTATATGAATAACTGACCAGGTTAATAAATTCGCAAAATTTACATTATTTACAAATATCGCATACGATAGCCATAACTGGAATTTTATAGCAATTTTAATAATTAATAAATAATTAATTATTTATTTCAGAGGCAAGCGTTCAAAGATTTAAATACAGAGCAGATTCTGGACAATAGTATAAAAAGTGTTAACATAATAGAGTGTCGACTCTATTACCCGCCCCTGAAAT